TGGATTGTTGACTCAGGTGCCTCCGATCATATGACCGGGGATGTCTCCTTATTAATGGATTACCGGCCGTGTAATCCGGCCCTCATTCCAAAGTTGATGGTCTTGGTTCTGTCTGCATCTCTCCAGACTTATTCCTCACTTTTGTGCTTCATGTTCCTACTTTGGATTGCAATCTGATCTCTATTAGTATGCTCACTCATGATTGTCATCGTGTTGCTAAATTTTTTCCATATGTTTGTGAATTTCAGGATTTGAAGTCGGGGAGGATGATTGACAGTGCTGAGTTGCGCAGTGATCTCTATCTCATCAACAAACCCTCTGTCAGTCTAATCTTACCCACCGGTTGTATTCCAGTATCAAGTTTGTCTTGCCTGAATCCACTTAGTACATCTGTATTCCATTCCAGCGTTAATAATGAGAGTGAAATCATGTTACTTCATTATCGTTTAGGTCATCCCAATTTTATGTATCTGGGGAAACTGTTTCCTCATTTATTTATTAATAAAAGTCCTACCTCTTTTAATTGCGAATTTTGTCAACTTGCAAAACACACTCGTACTTCATTTCCTCGATTATCATACAAACCCACTCGTCCCTTTTCTCTGATCCATAGTGACGTCTGGGATTCTTCTCGTGAAAAAAATATTTCTGGGGCCCAATGGTTCGTGTCCTTAATTGATGATCACACACGAGTGACATGGATCCATCTTATGCGTGACAAAACCGAGGTAGGACCAATATTTCGTGCATTCTATCAAATGATCCTCACTCAATGTGACACAAAAATCCAGGCTCTCAAAACAGATAATGCACAAGATTTTTTCAACACCTCCCTAAAAACGTTTCTTACTCAACATGGCATACTTCACCTTAGCACGTGTATTGATACTCCCCAACAAACTGGGGTGGCCGAGCGGAAAAATTGTCACTTGTTGGAGGTAGCCCGCTGTCTCATGTTTACCACATCGGTCCCTAAATGTTATTGGGGCGAGGCAACATTGACTGCTGCCTACCTCATAAATCGGATGCCCTCTCGTACTCTGGGTTTCCGTAGTCCAATTGATGTCCTCCTTCGCTCATTTCCAAATGCCTTTACACTTTCTTCAGTTGTCCCTACCAAACTATTTGGTTGCTCCGTCTTTGTTCACATTCACAAACAGCACCGCAGTAAATTAGACCCTAAATCTGTCAAATGCATATTCATAGGGTATTCGACCAACAAGAAAGGCTACAAGTGTTATTGTCATTTAACTAAAAAGGTCTATAATTCTATGGATGTCACCTTTTTTTAGGATCACTTATACTACCAAGGGTCTGTCATTCAGGGGGAGAGTAGTCGTAGTGAACAACAGCCCTGTGTTCCTTTACCAACTGACACGGGTCCCTCATCGAGTGAACAACAGCTCTGTGTTCCTTTACCAACTGACACAGGTCTCTCATCGACCGTCAAACCTCCTTCATCTCCTATTCAACCCACACCTTCTCCTATTCAACCTCCTCAGTCTACACAACCTACTCCTCAGCAACTTCGGGTTTATACAAGACGAAACAGAACTGCTGAAAGAATAGAGAACTTAACACCGCTTCCAGCTGCTGTCCAAGAATCTAATCCGGCTCCAAAACCCTCTGAAACTCACTCAGGTACGAAATCTATAAACACTAGTGATTATGAGCTTACCTCGTCTGTGAAAGATGATTTTGATGTTCCTTGCACTCAACATCCTATTGCTCGATTCGTTTCATATGAGAGGTTATCTCCTCCCTATCATGCATTTGTAACTGTTATTGACAGCATAAAGGTTCTGAATTCTATTCGGGAAGCTCTCTCACACCCGGAATGGAGAAAAGCTTTGAATGAAGAAGTTGTTGCACTAGAAAAGAGT